TTATATGCATTGGCTTGTGCAAAATACACAAACACACACAGGAAGGAATGGGGCTCTGACCGCTGTCTACAAACTAAGGTTTACTACTCCTTCCTCTTCATTCCTGTTTACTGGGACCACTAATGGTGTTCACTTTTTTGATGGCTACTTAAAAATGATTACCCCTCTCATTGGATTCATATGTGCAATGTTTGACAAGTAGTGAGCCTGCTTAAAAATAAGCAAGCACATTAGAAAAGAACCATGCCAGTGTGTAGTTTTACTTTTCCCACATCATTTTAACAGCAATCCATCGAGCTTGGCATGTTGTAAAATTGTGAGTCACCATTGTCGAGAAACATCACAGAAAACTTGGGCGATGTGACTTTCCTCCAAGACATTCCAGCTTGTCTCACTACCTGCCCCGCAGTTCCATGAATGTGACTTAGAACTCTTATGCCTTGGCACCCTACTCACTGGATCTGGCACCATCGGACTTTCATCTATTCCCTGCGCTCAAACAAGATCTGTAAAGACAGCCGCTCCAGCAAGGAAGCCGTCATAGACGCTGCACGTGAGTGGTGTGAGGACCAAGAAAAATTACTTTTTTCTCAGTGGGTGGGCTCCACTAGAAGTGCATAACACTCAAAGGAGACTTTGCAGAGAAATAATAAAGGGCCATTTGCATGTGACAGTCCCATCAAAAATTGGCTCACTACTTCTCAAGCTTCCCTTGCAGACAGGTTGTGTACCAATCTTTAACAACTTCCTACAGTACTAGCCCACAGTTCTTCGTTATGCTTCATATTTTTTGTTGGGCGTATTTGCGCGCCTTGTGTTGCACTGCCAGTGCTCGTGATGTAAACTTGCTTTCGTGCTTGCCTGCTCGCAAGTGCAATGTGCCTGAAATAAATGGATGGATTTCTAAAGTTGTGTGCAGGGAGTTTTGTTGTCGGGTCTGCTGCATATATAGTCGACCATGCTGATCATCTGAGAATGTCTTGCCTCGTATATTTTCCCTACTGGTTTCAGAAAAATTAGGCATTCCATGATTTGACTGCACATGGCCCAGTGGAGGTCATGCAGCCAGAAGTGTCAGTATTCTGTAGTGGAAATTTGGGTTGATGGAACCTTGCAAGTGGTTAACATCACCAAGTTTGGAAAAGAGGACAAACTGAAATGAGAGTGCTTATTTTTGTAGCTGCTGGAAACAGAAACGTCAATGGCAACGTGCCCAACATGTAGTGCATCTTTTTGCGGCTGCATTTTAAAACCCTGTTGCTGAAGCAAAGTTCACGCTGGCTGACCTCGGTTTCCCTTTATGTCTAGACTACCTATTCACCAATGCCAGGTGCCAGTTTGGCCAGCTTTTTGTAGTCGCAAAGAAAGATGGAGGTCAGGCAGGCAAAGCCAGCCCTCGCACCGGGGGGCTATGTTGCACGTTTTGGACTCCCAGGAGACTAGGGAGAAGGAAGTGACGTCAACGATGCTCGCTGGATGTTGATTGGTGTAGTCGCTGATGACAGTATCTGCAGAAGTTGCCAAGACACGTTCATTCACACCTACGTCACTTCCTTCTCCCTAGTCTTCTGGGAGTCCAAAACGTGCAACATAGCCCCCCTGTGTCGAGCACAGGCTCCAAGTCACTCGGGCAAAACTATCCGAGGCTTGCGGACATGTGTGAATACAATCCTTTGAAGATATTCTGAGGTAAGCATAGCTAGGACAAATCTGACACCTGCTGTCTGCAGCATGCGTACACATAACAGTGGGCATATCACATTGCAGAGGCTAATTGGTAAGCACAGCGGGGACGACCCTTGACATCAACCAATTCGTTCACACACGTGCCCAGTCGTCGCTGCAGGTGAGGACGATGACAGTAGATGGCCAGTCGGCTTGTGGAATATTTTCTCACTGCCCGCTTCCTTCGCTAAATTTGTAACAATCGCTACGTCACTTCGCGTCACTCTACTGTGGGTGTACGAGTGCGTGCACGCTGCCCGCGGACATGCTTCAGCCCCTCGAGTGATCGCGCAAAAAAAAAAAAAAAGCACTGGTCGAAGCAGCTGCGTTCACGCTTTAGTACCGTTTCCAGTGGAGCACAAAAAAGCTGACATCGGGTATAGATCAATTTCGCCGCAGGGTTACAGGCTTGACAATGCACTTCTCCATTTCGACTAGCTGCGGGGAGCGCGATTGATTCTTGCAGAGGCGTGACAGTGTATATGGAAAGCACAATTCAGACGTGCACTCGCGGTCCAGATCACCGCTTGTGCTCCGTTGGCGTCTCATACGTACCTGGCGCGATTCCTGTTGGGGCCAGCAACGGGCGAATGATGTTGCACCCGTGAATAATGCTGCCAAGCAGCGAGTTGGTCATCGCTGTAGGGCAGACTACACAACACCGCAGCGGCGCGTCGTTCGAATGAAATAAAACATTAGCTACACTGGACGTTTTAGCGAAAGCCAAACGAGCTGGGTTTATTTCCAGGCCGTAAATGACTTCAGAACGCTGGCAGCGGTCACGGGTCCTTAGGCCTAAACACACCCTTCCGCCCTGGAGTACGCGAACGTTACGGCAGAAAGCATAAAACGGCCGTAGCGTAGCTGCCCAGTCAGCATTGAGACCTGTGCGCGTATGTTATCCAGTTTCACACTAACGATACCTTCCAATATCTAGGACTGCACCAATGCACTTTTTCGACTGGGGCGTGGAGTACTCCAAAACAAAACGGCAGGGCGTCTGCTCGCGTCGGCGGTAGCGGGGGGGAGGGGGGCTGCACGCAGCTTAGAACAGCCCGTAGCGCGCGCGTACCACGTGACTGCGCCAGCCAATCGCGGTATTCTTCCCTCCGCCCTTTCCTCCTCTCCCTCCTTCTTTTCTCTCTCACGGGGCTTTGCCGTGGGGGGTCTCACAATACGCGTCCCGGTCAACTAAAAGCAGTACGAGGAGCCAGGGGAACCCTTATTTCCTTTTAGTGCTGTGACAGACTTTTCACTGTTCGAGTGAAGTGCGGCGACGGGACCCAGCTTATATGGTGCCCGACCGCTCACTAGTTTGTACCTCCTACTCACCGAGGTGGCTCCGGTGGCGGAGGTGCGGGAGACGAGTCTTCCGCGGCTGTCGACGCGGACTGAGGCAGAGACGCGTCGCAGCGCTTACGTGGAGTGTCCTCGTACGGCGCGACGCCCAGATCCGCACTCATAATCCGTTAAGCCCGGTAAACTCATCGATGATGGCAACCCGATCCCAAAGCTACGATGGTTGCAGCTAGGCCTAATGGCCAACGAGCCGACCGGGCCGACGGGCTATCAACCAAACTCGCTTCTAATTGGCCAACCGCTTCGCTCCAATCGCTAAACTGTTTAATTTTACGTGATGAAGCGCAATGTTTTGCTTATTTAAAGTTGTTTTCTGGAATATTTATTTTGCTAATAACTCACAAAATATTGCGAATTTCTGGAACATTTTTTTTTCCTCGGTGTTCCTGCTTTCATGGAGCTCCGTTTCAGCGCGAACTTCAAACCGGTCAAAAAATTGTTGGTGTGCCCCTTTAAGAAGCAAGTATTGCTCATGAGGCTCGTAACTAGTTTAAACTTCATGCGACCTCCGTACTGAAGCTTTGTTTGAAATATATTTTATATATGTGCAATAGTTAATACAATACAGGTATATGAATACTTTTATTGAAAACAGCCCAAACACCTCTATTTATAAATTTTTTTTTGTAGTGGGGACCATAAATGATGAAGCCTTCAACTTATCTGCCTCATCATAAATTGGAAGATGGTGCCCCATAGAACCATTCGGTACACGAAAAAATTAAAATGACCCCTTTTATTTCAATTTGCAATTTTATTTCTCTTCACATTACACTTGAATATATCATAGTAATAAACACAAAATGAATGTTAACAGTCTTTCTATATTCGTAAATAAATGCAGCAAAATATTTTTTTTTTATTTTTACCATCAGTACTTCTCTTTTCGGCCTTTGTAGGACAATTATAAGGTAATTATGTTATATTTCTGCATGGCATAATGTTCATTAAAATAAGGCGCTTATGCACATGTGTTACGCCAAAAAAGTAAAAAGGTTTCATTCATAAATAAAATGTAACGCAAATATAACATAATTTTTTTTTATCGGTAAAGGTAACCTGTTTCTATAAGATACCTGAAACTCGAACTTCCCTTTGCGCGTGCATCGTACTGTTGCCGTGCCTTGTTACGATAGACAATTGTTGAGGCGCTGATAACTGAAGGAACTAAACGTTTAATGCGGCAAACTTGTGGCCAAAACAAAAATGAAACGGAATATAACAGTAGGGCGTTGCGGACGTCGATGACAGCGTAACAGCAAGATCGTACGCTGAGCTGAGACTGACGTCGGCTAGCCACGGGGAGCGCCTTTTGTAGCCGCGTGGGTTTCCGGAACATTCGGCCTAGAAAGTTCGGCGCGTAGAACATTCAAGCCGCAAACAAGCAAGAGGATTCTCGAATTTACCACAAAATTGAATTCCAATAATAAATAAAAGACGCGCCACTTCAAGAAATCGAACCCTGTCTTTTCGCGTGGGAGGCAGGCACACTAACCGTTAGGCCACGCGCCCGCTGCCTAGTTGGCCAACTGCGCGCGCGGCAATATCGCTGTCGGGGGTATCGAGGGTAGCGGAACAATCTACTAAAGCTTTTTATTAAACAAGGCAACATAGGTTGGTAACACGCTCCATTTTTTTTGCAGGTAGTGGGTAACCTATTTCTTTACCTCTTTCTGGAAACGCCTACAACATTATGAAGCTCATACCTTATGCCTTTCCTCGGTCAACTACGTTCTGTACTGCCAGGTATCACTCGTTTACTAAAAGCAAAGTTACAATTATCTCCTTGCCATTAGGAAGCCGTTTAGGCAAGTCAAGTGAATTAATCGTTGTACTACCTAATAGGAGCAATAAACGTATGACGTATAGAAAAAAGTCCACAGGAGTCAATGTTCAGCATTGAGCAGGCTACTTACCATGTATGTAAACTGAACCAGTGAGGAGTACGACCGAAAGTGGCAAGATCACCATCCTGATCATGTTTACGTTTCAGGTGTATCGAGGAACGCAAGGTTTGTACCACCTGAATAACAAAACGTGCTATAGCCTTCTTCACAATTAAAAAGTAAATGGCTAAACTTTGACTTCTCATCACGAGCTAGCTTTGTGCAAAAAGCTCGTAACACTGTTTGGTTGCTTTTCGTATAAATAAATTATAGAGACTTCATAATATCTGATAAACGTTGCATTGGTCCCTCATCAGGTTTGAAAACGGCAACAGACCTTTTTTTCATTTTTTTAAGCACTGCGATCCTTACGTATTTCGCAATCTTCAAATATGAGGGGTGAAAACTCTGGAAGTTTGCGGCGCTGCCTGGAGGCTAAGCTTTTCGTACGCGAATAACGGTGTGACCAAGCCATTTATGCAGGTACCGAGCAGCGTAATGGCGCCATTTAGACAAGCATTTTTGATAAAGCTGCCATAGAACATGCATCTAATCTGATGCACCATGCATTCAGGTTGCCTTTCTACACGGCTTTCTTGGGAGGCGATTAGTAGAGAAGTGTACAATATCAGATGCACTGTACATTTTAGACGCAAATTAAGACAGTTATTTTTCATAGTGAATACACTCTACCTTATGGTATACTTTGCTGCAGCCATACAAAGGTTTTTGTTTCTTCTTGTAACTAAGGCGCACTCCCTCGATATGTTAGGTATATTTTTTTACTTCCTTATTATTTAAAGACAGTTCCTGATGAACGCATTATTTACAATTTGTAAACGCGTTGAAAAAGCCTGATATACGATTTTATCCTAATACCATATTTATACTCAAAATATATAGGGCCTTGATTATGAATTAATTAAAGCATATTTTTAAACAAATGTGAGAGACGAGCTACTTCTGGAACTATATGTTCATAAGGCTCGGCGGACCTTGGACGTGTGAAGCATCGCCATGACAACTGGATAATTAGCTAAGATACGTTACTAAACTTTGATGTAGTAGTTTTAGTCTCATGTTGCAATTGATTATCAAGTACAATTACTGTAAAACAATTTCGTAAAATTTAATTGCTAAGGGCCCACAAAGTTATCCTCAAGCCGTGCTCAGAATGACGCAAAAGAAAAGTAAGTAGTCGTCTTTCCTACGTCACCTGTGTCGTCGGCATGCCTGCTAATGACATTTGCCTGTATAATGACAGCAGAATTGAAATGACTGCGTCCCTCTTCCAAGCGTCATTGTGGGCAGCGATGCGAACATTGATAAGCTAATATCTAAGAGCTTTTTAGATATCAATTATTAAGTTTTCACGTTTTATCTCGATATAAATATTAAGCGCAAAAAGAGCACCGCAAGCTCAGCCCACAATGACGGGTGGTAGAGAGAAGTCGCTGTTTCAATTATGTTTTCATTATCTCGGAAGTGTGTTATTCGTAGTTCCGGAGACGACGCAAGTGACGACGCAACAGAAACGACTACTTCAACGCTAAATCAATTTACGAAAATATAATTTCTCTCTTAAATGTTCGCAAATTAATTGCTTACACCTTTATTATAGTAATTGCCATAAATACAGTAATTGCAAAATAACACCTAAAACTAATAATTAATAAAGTTAAATTACGGATTTCAGTTAGTTTGTCAGGTTGCCATGAAGATGATACACTCTTTTCCATCAAGCCTGATACATAGTACATACATGGCAAAGACGACACTCGTCAAACTCTCACCACTTCTAGAAAAAAAAATCTGTCAAATTTTAAATTACACTACCTGTATACTCTAGAATGGTAACTAATTATAAATGTGGTGTGGTAGTGTTGCGTGTAAAGTATTTTGGAGGATGCAAGCAAACGCATTTATCAGTTAAGAATAAACCAACTAGACAACTATATATGTATCTCTAGTTTTCTATTGGATTTTTGTCAAATTATAGCAAACCCGTAATCGGTCAGCCATATTGGCCTATAAGGATTTTTAATGCAAGATTTAAAAAAAAAGGTAATTTGAAACCCCACTTTTTATTGCCGCTAGCGGCTAAGAATTTTCTTTTATGGGCTTCATGCCACGCAGCATATATCGAGGTTTTAGTTAATTATAAATGCCGCAATGTAAAAAAATATTTATTTTGTCGTGTAAAAAATTGGATGAGTTTTCAGATCTAAATACACTTTTCCGAATGAATGCGTATAGATCAAACAAATGAAATAATAAATGGAGCCAATTGCCCTGAAAAGCGTCACGCCATCTAGCTAACCATGCGATGGCTGTTCTTCGTCAATATTTCTTGCATTTTAAATGTGCTTATTACAAGAATGATTGAGCTTGGCCATAATTAAAGTACTACGTGCACAATGGAATAGAACAAGTTGAACATAGAGAGTGAGCTTACCAAATACTTCTTCACTAAAAGGAAGTTAAAGTATCACTCTTTATCCTATGGCGTGTGCCGCTCTTATAGCACCGCTTGAGGTCACGTCACCTCAAGTAATAACCGTTAATAAAAAAGTTACAGAAATAAAAATAACTAAATATAAAAACCTGGGAGCGAATAGACAAACGCTGGGCTTGCTAACCTGCCGCTCATGCGAACATTTCTAAATACACAACAAAAAAAGCACAGGTGTTGAACCGGGATGTTTTCTTGCGTTCATTCTTGACTCGAAAGGGCTTTCAGAATGATGTACTAAACTCAGAGAGAAAACATTGCCAAGAAAGCAGTTTCTAAACTTATTTTGACTCAATAAACTGTTCAAATAAATATCTGGCAATCGCATGCAAAACTCAGGTCGAGAAACCGCTCCTAGGTATTTTCGTTGTTGAAAGCGGATACTACTTTTTCTTCTAGAGACCATACTCGCTCCTCTTACTAAACAAAAAGAGGTAAAACATGTCTCACAATGGTTCAACCATATTCCTTTTATATTTTTTATTTCAAACAAAACATCTTATTGGCTAAAGCAAAACACAAGATTCTTCTTTCACAGAATCCTGGTACCTGGCTCAACCCTCAGCAAAGGCAAAGACAAAGGAAACAGCCCTCCAAAAATTAATTTCGCATTTCAACTCGACAATGAAGGCACATACGAACAGACCAACAACTGAAGGTACTACCTGCAGATCGATACATTGGTTTTATAATATTGAAACTGCCCTGGCGTTTCTTCCCTGCCTTCTAAAATCGATATCTAATGTTGATCGACTACGCTCAAAAAACATGCATGGTCTCAGTGAACTATGGACCCACACTCTTATTGAATTTGAGGTACGTTTTTTAAATAGATGTAAGAGTGAGTCTCGTAATGAGCAATAACGGAATTTCAAACAAATGAATATAAAACATTTGTCCGTGAGGCTGCTTTATTTCCTTGAAGCAAACTCTCCATCATTTCCTTCTTCCCATTCCTACCAAGATAATCTGCAACCATTTGAATCACGCGTATGTTGTGATGTGTCCTGAAAGTTGGAGACTCCTGCGCCGCGTCCTGTTTCTTTTTCAACATAAGCCCCGACATGCGATAAAATTTATCCGAAAAGAAGCATTCAAACCAAAAACGGAATCTCACAGAAAACTAAGCCACAAATTGTAACACCGTAGTAAAACATTTATAATTATAAACAAGTACTGCTCTTCTAAATCGCCATAGCCCTTAAGTAAAAAAATTTTCGTACCAGGCGTACCAGTGTACCATTCTACGCCTGTGTATTTGTGTACCTGCACAAGGCGGCAGCTTGCAGAATCACACCTGCATCAAGCGCAAGCCTGCACACAAAGGGTTAAGCAAGCATGGAGCTTGCATGACAAGACAATGTAGAATACGCTGGAATTGTTTTCTACATCGGATAGCCACTTTCTGAACCCTCTATTTTGCTGATTTCACCATATTTCGCACGTGTTGAACTAACAGTTACGGCCGTCGTGATACTTTAAATTGAAATGAGCGAAGCTAGCCGAATGTCCATGTGCCCAGATGGCTTGCAGTAACGTTTTTTCGGTCTTAACTCAAATATACAATTATTGGTAGATTTTTCGTATGATTGATTTTAATTGACTACCCCAGGCTAGAATTTGCAAGAGGTCATGTGCGGTATAAAGGCCGACACCCACCCGCGGCACTAGTGTTGCTGGCGTTTCCGAATTCGTTTCTTCAAACAATGATTGTTTTGTATTTTAAATATATTTTTATAGAATAAAATATTTAATAAAGTTGATAGCGAGATATATTCCAGCAATAACTCGATAATGATATCTCACGACATAGCGAGGTGTATTTGCCAGATATTATTTCAATCTTAGTACCGACCTCTAGTGTCGAAAACACCAGATACAAACCTGTGTAATTAAATTAAGAAAACAAAACAAATACGCATAAACATCTTTATTAAAAATAACAGTACGCCTCTGTAAGGATAAATAGTAAAGACAATGTAAATCAAACCCAGATCATGCAATATCTAGAAAAGATTTTAGGAAGTGTGGCATAAGGTGACCTTGAAGAAAGCACATGCCATAGAATATTGTTAAATAGGATTTTAATAGTGCCAGGGAAGCCTAAAGCATAAAATTTAATCAGTTGAATTGGAGTATCAACAAAAAAGTAAACCAAATAAAACGCAGATAATTTAATTGAAAAAGTTCTTTTTTTTTATTAACGACATTTTCTTACTCTGTAGCGTAAGTAGACAGTGCGGGGGGTATGCGATTTCGGTAGGAGAGCGCATGATTGTTTTTCCCAAGTTTCGCAGCATGACCTTGAATCGTTTTTTTCGGATTCCCGGAAAGCACAGTAGCCTACCAGAAAAGGTAATATATGGAGTTGGCGAAAATTGTGAATACTTGGTTGTTAGGCTGAGCGGAAGCGCTGAGCGTAACAGTGACATACTTGTTCTATACTCGTTGCAAGTAATCGAATTCTTTCTAATCAATTAATTTTTGACCAAGTTTTTTTTTTCATTTGATTGCATTTATTAGTAGATAAAGAGTAATCTACTTACTTTTAGGACTACTGGAGCTTTTTATAATCGATACTT